AGTTTGTTATTTATGAAATGTAATCTTTAAAATTAGGAGTTGTGTATTTTCCCGCTAAGTAATTAGTTTCATATTTATCGAATAGCTTACATTGAAATTTAGAATTTATTATGTTAGAAAAAATTAAATTGAGTTAAAGTATATTAATAAATTGATCTATACCTTTTATTATGCAATTATCAAGAGTCACCAAGTTTCTTTGGTAACATGTATAATATATGAACATTGGTATAAGAGTTCATTCAATAAGAGTAAAAGGTTTAGAGTTTAGAGTACATGAGGTATATGAATATTCTAATATTTCACTTTGATACATAATTAATTTATTAATTTTAGATTTATAATATATGTCTATTTACTCTCGTGACAAGTAAAAATTATGAGTGATTTTTCAAATTTAATGTAAAAATCTGATTAATTTATTAAATATTTTAACTAACAAGGTTTTTAATGGGGGAATCATACCTTTTTATTGTAAGATTAAGTAACAAGTTATAATTTTTTTAAATTTTTTAATTGAAACATTCTAATATTAATAAATGAGTCAGATTAATATAGTTTTTGGTCATTTTCATGAGCAGAAACCTTTTTCATGATTAATTGCAAGTTCCAAAATTTGAATCAAATTTTGTGCTTTTGTGACACTTCTTGTAATTTGTTATGTTCGTGCATGATTTTGCATGAAAGATCAAGTCGAGTTGACTGTGCTAAAATTTCACTTAAAATGATCTGTATGTTGAGGTCGAGCTGAGATATTTATTTTCACCGTTTGGATTAATTCAAATGTTAGGGTCATACTAGTCTTGCTACTAATAGTATTTCAGCACGATGTGCCTTATGCTTTGGTTGACCTCAACGATCATGATACAAATTGGAGGTGGCAAAAGGGTTGAGTAGCTCGTCGGTTTGACTTTTCGAAACTCAATCCAAGAGTGACTCGGACTCATGTCGAGACAAGCCCAAGCATGAACCGAACTGGATGCTCGTACAGTGAGCTCGTGGGCGGCTCGTGGGCATGATCCACGAGCTTGTGGGCTTTAAAAAAAGTGATCAAATGTCATTTGGTAACTTCAAAAAATTTTGAAAAAAACTTGAGTTTGTGGCATCTCGTGAGCTCGCAAGCTTAAGGGCCATGAGCCACAAGCTAATTGACAACCCCTAATACTAATGGATAGGTTGGTACGTAATGCCGGCTGGCCCATTAACACCACTAATACAAATGCTAATGTTTACGTTGGTATGTAATTTACCTTTTTGAAGGAGGAAATTACATATTTCCAGACATTTGAAGATCCAAGTGCAAAAATCAGGTGCAAAACTACAACGCGTCGCGCAGCATTTGACGGAGTTGGAGGTAGAGTAAGCTTTGATTTTGGTGTTGGCAGAGTTAGATGCGTGTGTTGGATTTGTGGTTTGGATCTATGTTTTCAGATCTGTAGTTTTGGATCGGTGGTTGTCATGGTCGCGGTGGTGCGATGTGGTGTTGAGGTGGTACGGTTGCGATTGCGATTGCGATTGCGGTGGTGTGCAGTGTTGGTGGTGGTGGTGGTGTTGTGGTGATTGGGTGTGGTTCTGGTGTTGGTGGTGTTTTGGTGTTGATCAGGGGTTTTAGATATTTTTGTTGGTTGTGCAGTTAGATGAACTGGTGGTTGTGGCGGCGATTTTGGTGAGGTCC